AGTGGTGGCGCATGCCTTTAATCCCAGCACTCGGGAGGCAGAGGCAGGTGGATCCCTGTGAGTTCGAGGCCAGCCTGGGCTACCAAGTGAGTTCCAGGAAAGGCGCAAAGCTACACAGAGAAAGCCTGTCTTAAAAAACCAAAACAAACAAACAAAAAAAAATAGGAAACCATATATAAGCAAAAGGTCTGTAAGATTAAATAAACAAATAAACCCTCCAAAAACCCACTGAAATCATTTTGTGTTGGCCATCTTCTGCTGGGAATGGGGCCTGCCCCTAAGTGTGGTTTGTTGATACTCCTTGGAGAATGGTAATTTTTCATTTGCAATAGCTTAAGAGTTAGGGATGGGGACTTATGTCTCCTTTCCTCTTGGCACTGGGACCCCACCTGGCTTAGACCTGTGCATACTGCCACAGTCCCTGTGACTTCATTTGTGCATCGGTCCTGCTGCATCTAAAGGCCTTGGTTCCTTGGTTTCTTCCACCTTACTGGCTCATAAAAACTGTCTCTTCTTCCATATAGCTCCCTGGGTCCTGAGGGAAATGATTTGATGAAGACATCCCATTTAGGACTGAGTGTTCCAAGGTCTCACTAGTAAGTTAAAAAACAAAACAAAAAAAAAAAAAAAAAAACAAGTGATTGTGGGGCTCTGCGTTGGCAGGGTGCTTGCATGAAGTCCTGGAGTAAGCCCACAGCACACATGTATAGGTGGAGGCAGGAGGATCAGGATGGCGAGGCAGCTCATGGGTAAAGGCTCTTGCAATCAAGCCTGACACTCCCGGTTCAATCCCCAAGAGCAACATGGTAGAGAGAATCAGCTCTCACAACTCGTCCTCAGACCCCCACGTGCACACTGTGGCAGGAGCACACCCATAGTTACACAAAAAATGAATAAATTTGTATTTTTAAAAAACATTCATCATCATCCTCAGCTACTTAGTGAGTTTGAGCCCAGCCTGGGCTACATGTGACCCTATATACAAAAAAGAACAATAATAAACCCCAACACTAATCTAGATATTGTAGCAGAAATTAGAGTTGGATCAACACTGTGTGGTAGGAGTTAAAGGAGTCGAATACATAGCAACCATATCTATAGAAATACACGAAGCTAGTCAAGGCTATACAGTGGATCCTATCTGTGGAATAAAATATAAAGAAGTAAATGGATGAGGGAAATGAATTCTAGCAAATTTTAACCTAACCTAGTATGCCTGTCTAATCGACACGTAATCAGTACTTGAAAATCCACTGAGGTATTTTACATTTCATCTTAAATCTTGAAAACCCAGGGTTATATATTTTCCAGTTAAGTAAAGTGACTTCTATTTGAGCGGGTCAGATCTCAAGTGCTCAATAGTGTGGCCAAAGATTTCCATCCTGGAAGCCCAGATTCCGGAGCAAAGAGAGCAGGCCAGCTTCACAACATACAGAGAAGAAAAGTTATCAGAAGAGAAACTAAAAAGCCAAGACAGAAAGCATAAGAGACTTAAGACTTCTTAGGAAATACTGCAGATGCTGGAAGAAACCCACATTTAGGAACTAAAGGTCATGTGACTTGTTAGTCTACTAAAACATTGGGGAAAACCTGTACTCAAAAGTGTCAACCCAACATTTTTCTTTTAAAAAAAAAAAAAAAAAAAAAAAAAAG